GTCTCGTATTTTCGCAAAAATCACCGTACCGATCAGGAAAATAGCACAAAATGGTTCGGAAGAAATTCTAGTTTCGGAAAATCACTAACTCGCATCAGAATCTGCGAACCTTCGCGCAATATTTGAAAAAATTTACGGAGCGATTAGGAAACGGCCTCACCCCGTAAATACAAAATGGTACACTGAGTGTGGCCATGAACGACGAAGCGACGTGACTTGGGCTGGAGCAAAGCCCAATTGATGCGAACGACGTACGTCTGAGATGGATTTGCTAGGTTTTGCACCAAATTTGTTAAGTAGGTCAAGGTCATGGGGTTGAATTTTTCAGGTTTAAAAACGCTGAAAAACTGAATTACCGGTGACGCATACGAACAAATTGTGCATATTTTCAATGCACTGTTGCCATCTTGGTCGACCGGATTTAACGGTTTAATTTCTTCAATGACGTCTCAGATTGATTTGCAAGATTTTTAACCATTGAAACTAATGGGTTTTTCGGGTTTTTGGCCGTCGTACAATAGAATTTCTTCCTGACGTTTCGCAAGCACGAGCAGCTTGCATCTTCAGAAGTGGTTTGCTTGAACGCTTACACTGTTCTCATCAGAACCCGTACAGTTCTTCCGCAGAACTGAAAGCGTTCAAGCAAACTTGTTTATCTCTTTTGATATCAATAGTTGATTGATTGACAAATAACTGCGTTTTGAATGCCTAGATTTACAGAGGGATGATGATTGATTGAACTGAAACGCTTACACTGTCCGATCGGAACAGTGTAAATTTTCAGGGATGCAGATGTTGCAAAAATTGCCAATTTGAATCTTTCAATCCGATGTTTCAAATGTCGGAAGTTCCTAAAAACACTAAAGTTACAGCCAGATTTACCCCGGAAAGTTTGTTTTTTGGAATCGACTACACTCTTTATCTCATAGCGAGGTCAAATATCGCTCGATTTTGAAATTTTAAAGACGATCATCGCTCGGTACAATCTTAACGATAAAACTGTTTAAAAAAAATTAAAGCGATCATCGCCAAAGCTTAACTTTTGAATCCTAAGGATGTTATCAGACGTTTAGCATATACTGAGTGTCGTTTTTAATCAGGCTTAAATGCGCAAATCGTTAGGCACGTTACGGAACTTTAAATTGGATTTAGAGTGTTTGCATTCCCACGCAAAAACGTTGAAAAGCAACTTCCCGTGTTAGGGAGTCTTTTTAAGCAGTCGATTAATAAGTTTCCGCCATTCGAGTTAAACGGCAGGCAATTGGAGCAAAACTTTCCCTTTATGCATGCGTTCATCTTGCTTTTGCCAAGTTTGTGCATTCACTTTTGATAACTTTTGATTGCCGAGCAGGGCTTTTCGCGCAAAAATTACCATACATCTAGGGAGAATGTTGCTAATTCCTGTAGTTTTTGCGAAATCTTGTTAAATTAAGTCAGTCGAGCTTCGTCTTAAAAGCCCCATCTGGGGGGCCATTCGTTCCGTTAAACGAATTCTTAATCCAGTTTATTTTCCATCAATAATCCCCGGAATTATTCAATTTTTCTCCCGCCGCATGAGCCAATAAGTTCGAATGCAGGGGCTCTTTGCACGGTAATCAACTCAGTCTTTACAGGCCCGTTTACATTTCGCTTTAATCGAGAATTTGGCAGTTTGAGTTTCCGCCCGGGCGGATTAATTATGGGCTCCAGATTAAAATTCGTAATATGACAGAAAATTGCTGTTTTTAAGCGCCGTTTTATTTGGAAAAATATTTAATTAAGTCCGCAGGCTAATACTGAATTCGATAGTTATACGGCAGAAATGTAGAGGGCGGGTTTTTAGGGCTCCAGCGTTTTATTTATCACTAATACAGTGTGTATGTCGAATTCATTTCAGATTGGTTTCTGCCAGAATGTGCGCCACTGATCACCGGTTTCTAACGCGTATAACTTGCTTGTTAACTCCGAGCCAATCGCATCCCTTTGTACCTGTTTCATTCATGTTTTTCCTATTTTTCCATTTCCAGTCGGTGTTCTATTTCCGATCTGTATTTGTCGCTGATGCTGGTTTAAATTTCCTAATTAGTTACCGTTACAGCGTAAAATTAGGCTTTGGTTTGCACACATCATTTCATTGTACATGGTTTAAGTACACTTAGTGCACTATCAAGGCATATGAATAATTAGCGTCCGATAATCCAGACCTTTCATTTAACGTTATGTTGCCCTAAGCTCTATCGTTTAATTGGCTCTGATGAATGTGTCACTAGATTTGCTTTGATTAAAGGCTTCACAATTTATATAGAGCGCTCCTATTGCGCGTAATTCGGACATTTTCAACAAAATACATTGCAAGCATCCTGGGAAAATGGAGCAACCACGACGAGAGCGGCAACACTGGTAGGCGGGACACGCCCAGGACGGGAGTGGCAACATCGGGACTACTTCATGGCTGTGACAGGAGACGGCGCGCCGGTACTTCCGGGCAACAACACAGAACATCCCTGGGGGAAAAACAACTGGTGTGGTTGCCAGGGGAGATGGATTATTATTGATCTGATGGCGACGGTGCAAGGCGTTCATTAAGATTATTGAATTTTGCATCGATCGTATTCTTCCTTAAATTTAACCCTAACAACATTTTTTCAGTCAATGGAATTAGATGCGATTTTGTATTATTTGATTAAAAATATCAATGTCGGTTTGGTTGAGATTGTCATTCGGCGAAGTGGAGAGCCAAATTGGAAGCGGCTGCAAATGGGGGTAAGTGAGGCAAAGCTCAAATACGTTCAGCAATTTCCATAGCGAATCTGGGTCAAACTGATACAATCCAAAGTCCTTTAAAACTAAATAAGAACCACGTCCTTTAAGGCACTAACGGTTTCAGCGCTCCACTGGATCCATCTGGATATGGGGCAAGACTCCGGAAATGCCTTAGCAATATTGAGCGCAGCTCTTGTTAACAGTTTTCCTTCGTGTGGCTTATCGCTAAATCGCCCATCATTTGTTCAGATGAACCCATTGGGAGCCGAACAAAAGTCGCGTTTTTTCTTAGCCAGTTGATTGGCGAAGCTTCTGATAAAATGATAATAGTCTCATCTTTGCTGGCTTTTATTAATTCAGAATGAGTCCCGGAACAAGATGAATACCAAACTAAATATATCTACATTTAATGTGCTTAATGTGCTGCGCCCTTTGGGGCCGTTGTTATTCTGTCGACAACGTTCAAGAGGCAAAAGTCGATGTTTTTCCTGGCGGTTTCGGTGGGATTTCCATAAAAAACAATTCGGGCGAAGCATGTGCTATCATCAATCTTACGTTTCCGGCTCGATGGTCCTAAGTTTGCGAAACTTCTAAACACCTGTGCGCCAATGGCGACAGTTCATCAGTGGATGTTGGTAAATTAGATCCAGGGCTGCGTTAATTGATTGACTCGCATCCGAGAAAAACGCGGATTTCGGAATTTTGTCCACTGGTTTTAGTTATCGGACGCTCTTAAAAACGTTGAAGTTACAGCCGGATTTACCCCGGACAGTTTGTTTTTTGGATCGGTTTACACTCTTCTTGTTTAAGTTTGAAGAAGCCAAAAATAGCACAAGTCTTGGCCTTTTGAATGCAGTCTTCAGATGCCCGAAGTAGAGAATTGAAAACTCGATTCAGTCGTAACAACGTGAGTGAGGAAATTCGAGTAGTTTTGACCCAGAAAGCGAAATTTGAATATATATTGAATTAGGTGCAAGATTATGCCAAAATTCCATGTTTTCCGTCCCGTTTTTGCTCATATCTCGGAGGCAAAATGAGCAAGAACGCTCATTTGTACATCA